TTTCAGATATCCCTATAAAGGAAAATTATAGCACTATAAGAACCAAATATCATTTCATATAATTTAAGGTCTCTATAAAATCTCAGGAAAATTGGCCTTAGAGATCATCAGATGGAAGTGCTATTCATTAGAGACTTGAATGCTCTCTGTTGTACTGGCAAGTAGTCACCCCGGTCCAACGTGACTGCTAGAGCAGTCTTTAAGCCTCAATATTAATACCTATTCAAATAGACCTGTAAACTAAATGAAGAAAGTGGGTTGGATTCGTTAAGTTTCACAATATCTTTATGTTATCTTTATTGATAATATGTTATCTTTGTTTCATGATATCTAATATACTAAATATATACTTAGTATATTAAATGTAGTAGTTCTTCACTTTTTCAAATAAATATGCTTTCTCCTATTTTTATTGGAACATCATTCTTGATCTTTTTAAAAAATAAATGATTAATAGGAACACTTATATTTCACTTTGCTCCTAACTACTGTAAGAAATAAAATTGGCAAAACACCATGCATCTGACCTTTGCTGTCATTGTTGGGGAAGCAGGGTGGTGCGGGACTGCAGCAAATCGGAGGGACGTGCTTGACCCAATGAGAGTACAGCTCAGCTCCAGCTCTGTTGAAAATATGTAGGCCACATGTATCTAGATCTTTCTCAAGAAAAGACCCAGATATGAAATTGTACATTAAATTTCTCTATCTTTAAAATGTGGACAGTTAATTCAGATTTACAACAAACTAATTTTGTGGGATAAATCTTACCTTTTTGTTGAGTGCTGACTATAGGCTGCCAGTATGTAATCATGAAGATATATGGTTAGATATAATTGTTGAATTCTTTTATATGATTTAGACATAATTTCTTTATAGTTTGGCATAGGTATGAGAGTTGAAATCAAAATTGTTTTTAAGTGAAACATTTCCTCAGGTTAATTTTGATGCAGCAGGATTCCTAGTACAGAACTGCTTTGTCTTTTCCAAAACCTAGCCCTTGTCTTAGCAATAAGAGTTTTCATTTTAAAATGCAGAAATGAATAAAAGTTATGGCAATTAATGATTTTTTATGACAAATTATAATCTACAAAAATGGGGAAGTATATATTTGCTTCGCTAGAGAACTGCTAAAAGATTTTTTAATGCTTATTTTTTCCCACTATTATGTTTCATTGAAGTACTCTCTCTAAGTTGACGTTTTAAAGCACTGTCAGCAGTACTGTGGTATCTGAAGATAATATTAATAACAAGTGGAGAAATTTGGTAAATTCTAGCTTGTTGAGGACTTGTTGGGAAAGTAACTTCAATTATAGTGATTTCATAGGAATGGCTGAGCCTAAGTGTCTGATGTTAGGCCACTGGGTTAATGAGTATGGTATGTTGGAAGAAACTCTGGACTAGGAAACAAATCCATGTTGGATTCTGCTTTGTGTGTAGGCTTGAGGAATTTGTGAATTTTAATTAAGAGGAAGACTT